GGGGTTCACACTGCCAGGTAATGTATCATAACGTTTTTATGTTCAATCAATAAAGTTTTAGATTTTAGCCCGCTGGCCCGCCAGCCCGCCCAGTTCACACTGCTAGCCCGCTACACTGCTAGCCCGCCCACTTCACACTGCCAGGTAATGTATCATAAGGTTTTAATGTTGAATCAAATAAAGTTTTAGATTTTAGCCCGCTGGCCCGCCAGCCCGCCCAGTTCACACTGCTAGCCCGCTACACTGTTAGGGCCCGCCCACTTTACACTGCCAGGTAATGTATCATAACATTTTTATGTTCATTAATAAAGTTTTAGATTTTAGCCCGCTGGCCCGCCAGCCCGCCCAGTTCACACTGCTAGCCCGCTAGACTGCTAGCCCGCCCAGTTCACACTGTTAGCCCGCTAGGCTGCTAGCCCGCCCAGTTCACACTGTTAGCCCGCTAGACTGCTAGCCCGCTCAGTTCATACTGTTATCCCGCTAGACTGCTAGCCCGTTAGCCCGCGTACTTCACGGACATTGCGAAATGGACATTTTCTTGGTGCAAACGGATTTTTTTAAGAATTTTCTTGTATTAAGGACTTGAATCAAATATACTGAGAACCAAAAGCGAATATAACAATAAATTGACTTAATCTAAAATAGTTTTACTTTAACCAAAAACGACATGTTATAGCAGTAAATGTTTTGTGCTTTTAAATATATTTTTCGTTTTACCTATTTTTCCTCTTTTTGCAAAACGTGCACACTAGTTATATTTATTACTAAGAATTTAGTGAGATAACATGTACATGTATGCTAATTGGCTTTATTTAATCAAATCATATTGTATCCGGATGATACTTTGTAAAGAGATATACAGTCAGCATTTATACAAAGTTTTAACATTTTAATTCCTTTAAAAGTCATAAAATGATGGTATGCCGGTATCCTAATTTTGCTCTCTGTTGTGTCAAATGCCTACCCGTTGATTTCATTTTATGGCAAAAGTTTATTTATATCAAGGTAAAAATTGGCATAAATGATGGGCGCTTGAAGTAATATTATACTCTTGAAGGTTTTTTATTCAAATAGTTTTAAAGACACGAGTATATGTGAATTGAATAAACTATTTTTTTTCTGGTGTAGGCTTTGTGAAGTAACGCACCAGTTTACAGCAAAGCCGTGTGATTTGTAGAGAGCTTGTAAAAGCAAGTTCCGCAATATAAATTGTCCAAATTGACGTTTCAAATGCATTAATTAATGCAAACATTTGCGCGACTGGTTCACAACATTGTAAAGTTAAGAGGATAATACCGAATAGGTTTACTTGCAGTGGAATTATTCATTAAGGTTTGTAAAAGAGTTGTTTTAAAATTCTTGTGTTTCTATTTCAATCATTTTCCAAATATTTTCAATTGTAAATGAGCCCTTTCCTTCAAATTTTTCATCATCATCATAATCATAATCATCATCATCAACAACAAACAAACAACAATATCCTCGTCGTCATCGTCATATCTTCATTATGATCAACACAACAACATCATCAATCATCATCATCATCATCATCAATCATCATCAGCAGCAGCAGCAGCAGCAGTACCATCACAACCATACTTTTGAAATTATTATTACTTTTACCACCATCATCACCATCACATCTAAACCTTCAACATTTTCATCGCTTCATCTTGTTGTTGATGACGATTATCAATGACTTATGAATAAAATGACGAAGATGGTGGTGATGATGATGATGATGATACAAAATGTGAAAATAACATAACGCCCTTTTGTTATACGTAAAAACACAATCATAAGCAAAAATATATATGACAAATTCTTATCCTTGGAGAGCTCTATCCATTAAAACGGGACACTTGATATATACATGTACAGCTTCACTTTGTTTGGGAGCTATAAACGTTACAAGGCCAGTAAGATGTCAACACTAAAGCTCAAACAGGACCCTATATTTGGTGAGAGCTTTTAAATGCGGCGTTACCATAGCTCCTTCAAAACCTTTTACAAAATCATATGATTCTATGTATTTCGATGTGTCTTTTTTCAGTTCGATTACAAGAAGATTATTTAATGTAGGTATAGTCCAATGAAAGGTATAGCACTAAGAATTAAAACAATTTGATGGAAACAAAATAAAAAGTTATTTGATTAAGTTAAAATAATAAATCATTCTAAAATAAAATACATTTTTGTTCATTTTTCAAATATTTTACGCCTTTGTATTACAGTCAATATTGTATAAAACACAGCCATTTAATGTGACATAGTTTAATATTATTGCATTTTTGTCAGATCAGGGGCTTTGTAAGCACTTTACAGATAAGTGGACTTATTAAAGCAATTGTTTCCTTCTTTTATGTCTACGAAGGATTCATTTAATTTGTTTGGTAATTGTATCTCAGCACTAAATTTTTTTCCTAATTACAGTTCTTTCATTTTATGCTAGTATGTATAAATTGCATTCACCGACATTTACTGAAAGATTGTTCAGTAATGCCATGTTTACAAGAATGAAAAAGGAAAATTTTTACTGACCAGGAGAGGCTTTTAAACCTGCAGGATTAAAGCAAATAATTAATTGGAACATACTTAAGTAAACATCAGGGTCGCAAAATGCTACTGTTATGTCATTGTCAGGAGCAAATAGCTCAAAAAGGCAGAAGCAACACTTCATTTGATTACAAATTTGCATGTTCACTTCATTGCATGTTGTAGCGCGAAATGCTCTGACATTCTATGCGGAAGATTTTGTTCTATAGTTGCTTATGCAAATGATAAACATTATTTCCCAGTTATGTCTCATTTTAAAGAAAAATTCAGTAAGTGTACTTATGATATTGTCAGATAGGTAGAACAACAGCATCAACAACAACAACAACAACAACAACAACAACAACAACAGTAACAACAAGCAGCATTTATTAGGAAATTGTTTAATAATGCATACTGTTCTATACTGTTTCTCTCACATATGATGCTCATAATAATCACGCCACATTTCAATAATTTAAAAGAGTTAATGTAGAAACGTTCCATTTTATAACCAAGAAATTATATTACCTGAATATATCCACAGAAATGTTTATAAAACACCCTGAGCTTCGTACTTTAATAGGTTTTCATGAAATACAAACATGTGTTATGTACAATTGCATGTCACTTTTGTTTCTCTTTTCAAATTTATTTGATTCTTAATTTGCATAACTTTACAATGTTAAACTCTCTTCTCAACAATGACCTTCTGTGGCTTACAAGTTAAGAGCATAAATGTGCCAACGGGAGTGATGTCTGGACATATTCCAGTCTCCATTTTCCATTTGTAACGTTGCATTAAACTTGCAAAGATCAAATGTAGCTCGGGTTTTGCTACAAACTCTCCAAGGCATGCCCTTGTTCCAGCCGAAAATGGCAGCCAGTTTTTTGGCTTAGGTCCAAGTTTTCCATCTTCACCTAGATATCTTTCTGGAATAAATCGATCAACGTCATCCCAGGCGCTTGGATCATGGTGAAGCGCCCAGAAATTGATAGCGATGTTTGTGCCTTTTGGAATTCTGTATCCGGCTAAATGAATAATGGATTCATGTATAATCATACTGTGCGATTCAGGATGGATGATGTTTTAAACAAAGAAGATTAATGATTATGCTTTGTAATAATGTACTAATTTCAGTAACGAACATTTACTTTGCCGGTTATTTGTTTGATATTTAATAAAACTGTTGAATTTTTACACTAGAAATAGAAGCCTTATACATAATAAACACTTCACAAATTGGTGATGGATATACATGTATAAAGGCACTAGACAATACTTGAAAATAATAAAATGATAACATTAACACTGTTTTGATTTTCTTTTGCAAATTGTGCACTATTAGTGAATAAGGTCAGACTAAATAGAATACGAAGACATTGTATATTTAATTCAAATTTGTCCCTAGTACGATATTAAAGCATAAGAAGGTCCCATTGTTAGCGACATTGTGAAAACGCAATTAGCCATACTACTTACACACTTCTGAATCACAAGAAGCTTGATGAAAAAGTCCAGTTGGATTAATGCTTGCAAGCCGCATACTTTCATGTAATACAGCTTCCGTGTAACTAAGATTAGGGCGGTCTGCAACTCCTGGTAATCTGTCTTTCCCTAAACAATGTAACCTTGGTGCACCATTATATTGTTTAAAAGCAAAATATGTGACATTTATGCAACTAAAATCTCAAATTTCCTACAAAATATAATTATTTCTGTGGATATATAAACTATAATCATTTTTAAAAAGTAAATGGTAGAAATGTTCACATTTAGACTCATTTTGCCTCAGAAGTATTAAATTTTATAAAATAAAAGCTACCATTTTATTAACTAATGACAAATTCTTACTTAGGGAAAAATGCACATCCAGTTTAGTTTTGCAAGATATAAAGTTTTATTTTAAGAAAATTCCCCATGTTAACATGTAAAATATGTTAAATGTAAAAGAAATATGCAGATGTATTCATACGGCGACGATAATGGACTCCTCACTTGTTACACACGTGGAATTCCGTGATAAGGTGAGTATCGACTCCAAATGTAATATAATGTTTCTGCCCTTAACGAGAATATAACATCTGTAACTAAATGTACGTGTAAGAGCAGACGTTTTGCAATTACTACAAAACTCTGATGATACTATAAAACAATCACAGAATGTGAACCGTAAAGATCGGTTATCACTACAACGTTGAAGATGTTACTCAGTTGATGATGTTCATAATAATTAGAATTGTCAGTTAAAGTCTACATTTCCAGCACCGAGGTAAGCAGACATTAAAATATAAACATCATCTTGAAGTCTAAACTACTGAGATAGTGCTTATTTTGATAGTGTATTATCTTACCAACAACGTTATCTATCTCTTCTTGAACCTTTTCTTGTATATCAGGAAATGCCACCATGTATAACAGGGCATACTGTAGCGTAAATCGGGATGTATCTGTGCCAGCTGAAATGAAATAATTTCATCCATTTTAGATACAAGATTTAAAAAAAAAACATCCACTGAATTCTTGATTAAACTGATGTTTAACACAAATAAAACAAGACCTTCCCACAGATAGCATGATTCACATTTTTCAGTACTGGATAGTTTTACATAGAAAAAAGGGCATTATTCTGCGACAGTGTTTGGCTTCCCTAGAAAGATTGCACATGCTCAAAGTATTAAGGGAATACCTTGATCGGTTTTTGAAAAAAGCTGAAAATTTTCTAAATAATATATTAAAATGATAAAGTTTTTAAGTAAAAGTTTCATAAGGCTATTTCCCTCTAAGAAAAGCATTTTGAGATTTATTTTTTTTTGGATAAATTGTGTTTAGGGTATGACCATCCATAAGGGCACTATAAGGACCTGAACAAATGACAACAAAGGGCGGTTTAATTCTTTAAATGATGCCTGCATGCTACATTTAAACAACATTTACCGTACGGTTTACAGTTATGGACAACTTTCTGGATTAAAGTTTGGATTTTAGAAGAGATTTTTTTAAGAAATAAGGAAACTCATTATAATCGATAACGTCATCCTTATGAACAAAATTTCCAATTGATAATTGTTTAGAAACAATAACATTCAGCCAACAAAGGGCTGAAGAAAATGAAAATGTCACATTGAAGGTTCCATGATAACCGCCGTATGAACACATCTGCGGATGTTACTAAATTCAAAATATACATTCCACCATTTTTGTGTTTAAATGTAAATTTCTGCTTAAGCCGGTACTAGGGAGCGTGGACGGTAACTCGCATTTTCTAGTACCGTCCATGAACAGGCTCAATCAAACCGAGCCCGCAACATTTTACAATTATGCCGTGTTGCGCTTTCTTTAGGGATTCTGTTTTTCTCTATTTAAGCCAATTAAAGGAGAGTTTTTTAAAACTTCTTTCAGAAATATATTGATTTACCTTGTCAAATAATTTTACCATATAGTTTTCATTACGGTTTGATTATATCAGTTGCCAAATTTTGAAATAAATCTAGCATTATTTAGTTAATAAATATCTATTATAATTATCATGCAATTAAATTCAAATACTTCTTTCTTTCAGGTATCGGAATGATACAAAGAAAAAGAAAAAAAAGGACATAAAATAGAGAAAATATGAATCCCTAAAGAAAGCCCAACACATCAAAATTGAAAATGTTGCAGACTCGGTTTGATTGAGCCTGTTCATGGACGGTATTGTCAAGTGCAAACTACCGTCCACGCCCCCTAGCACAGGCTTAAGCAGAATTCAACATTTAACATGAACTGGTACAATTTTGAATTTTGAAACATCCGCATATGTGTTCATATGGCGGTAATATTGAAACTTTCAATGTGACACGTAAGTGCCATTCCATGAAAAACGGCATATGGTCCCCAAGTAAAAAGAAATTGTGTGTACCCTAAACGAGAAAACAATGGGCGGAACTAAATAAAATGGAATTTTGAAAGGGGATCAGAGGTTATGAAGCCTGCATATCATAGATAATACGTCAAAAGACAAATTTAAAAAAGCAGGCCACATATCCTAAGGGTGATCCAACAGTATTCAAAAGTTGACCCTATTGGCGTTTGAACCAACGACCCACAGTTTCAATGTGGTTAATTTAGCCTAGCAAAACTCTTCAAATCAGAGGTAATGCATTAGGAAGCTCATATCTTAAGCAGAAAAGGGACATAACTTTGCACACATGATTTTAGGATTGCTTGTCCTTTTTGAATTGGTGTCCTTTTTATAAGTCAATAGTCTTTATAGCTTTCTAGAAGCAACGCCGACTTTGAGTGTTATGACAATAACACGATAAGTGCAGCTAATTAAAGAAACAGTCCATACATAATAGAGAACCATCTAATAATTACATGTGTTTTTAACCGTGAAAACCTGTAATCTAAAATGCATGGTAACTATCAACAGTAATCTTAAATAAAAATATACAATATTCGTTCATATTCTACAACTTGGGATATTATTTCAGATTATAACCGTGGATAATAAATACATTGTACTTTCTAATTTATACAAAGAGACAATCGACATTGAAATCAAATTTATGTATGCTGACACAATGTACAAAAATGTATAAAACTATTCCCAATTAAACTTTCTATGCAAGAATACAGAGCTTTAAGAGACACCACCGAGGTTATTAAATAGAAATACATTTTCGAGATTTATTACCATTTGATGAAAGTCCAAATGCAAAATTTCTCATTCCGTTTTTTTTCAATTCAGGGTAAATATTTAAATGTACAAAATGACCCTTTACGAGGAGTGTTCAAATATGAATGCAGCTAGAACCTTATATTATTCAATATTGTGGAAAAAACGATGATATGAAGGTTATCGGTAGATATATATGTTAGCTTTTAATTGATTTAGCTCGCAAAATATTGTCTACTGTATACTGTAATTAACAAGAATGATTGGCAGAAGATCGGTGTATGACATTGAAATGGGTCTTACCTCCTTGGCATAGGTTGTTAAGATATTTTTGATGAAATCTGTTTTGGATATGGATAAAATTAAATGTCTTCTCATCAGTATTCGTTATTTAAAACAGCAACCTTTGTCAAGACGGTTGCTAAAGTAAAAGAAATAGTTTAGGTCGATGCAAGATACACCATCAGGCAAATATCTAGTCTTGTTTGTATCTCATTAGAAGCAGCTTATACTATTCTCAAACGTAGTTTAAAATACAAAAAATATGACCCAGATGGATTCCCCATTTACTGATAGATGAGCAGGAGAAAGCTCGCGTGCAATGCGCTAAGTTGTTGCTTAACCTGTACAAAATCAGAGAAGAATTACATTTCACGTGCTTCTAAGCATTCCTATTTGGACACTGCTCGTAATAAAAGGGTTCTAACATTTTGAACTTAAATCAGATTAAGACATGTTTTAAATTAAATTCTGAGTGTTTATCATAATAAATTATTATCTTTTGTGTATGATTCCGTTTTGAAAGTCCCAATTGGTAGGTGTACTAGGAATGCCACATTTTATATTGATTTTAAGTCTTTTGAACCACAATAGAGTTCCTTTAAATGAAATTGCTGAAATAAATCTTACCGGAAAATATGTCAGCAAGAGTTTGGATAAGGTGATCCTCATCAAGTCCAGCGAGCGCATCCTTACCCTCCTCCTCTTCCGCCTCCATACGAGCGAGAATCAAATGGTCCGCAAAATGTCGGATGTCATCTATTAATTGCATATTCAAACACTCTCAAAAAGGTTGTTATAATTTTAACATTTGATTTTAAGGCGATTTTACATGCTTTTATATTTTGAATTTTGAGTTTAACGAAAGAAATCTTTATTGCGGTGCGTATTCAAACAACAGTCATCAATCTAAAATGTGTAGTATTTCACAGACTTTGTCACTAGTTTCTCTCGCAATTAAATGACATACATGTATTAACATGATTGTGGACCCTTTGTGGCTGAGGGGTTGCCTTCAATGGAAAGTGCATGTGAAAAGCAGCCACCGTTTACCCCTGCATGATTATAAGCGGTGACTAAATCGGTTCGAATAACTGGAGTCGATGCATCTCTTAGCTTCGGCAGTTGAGGTTGTCATGACCCCTGGTGTTGCTTTAAAGTTTGTAACATCCGAGATTAGCCGAAATCATCATCTTTTCTGTTTCGCACAATATGACCTATACTGTGTTGGTGCACCGTAAAACCAACCAAACAAACATGATTGTGGATAACAAGAGTGTTCTGCGCTGTTTTAAAAGACTGATAATAAACAAAGTCCCTCTAAAATGAAAGGAATACAGAAAACAATTTCACATTGAGTTGTAATTTAATGAACATGAAAGGCTGAATTCTTTGTCTTGACTAATGGTTTACAAACGATATGGGAAATTTTAAGTAAATACTTAATAGTGTGTATACATAACTTTCTCGAGAAAAGATAATATTTTAATCAGTCAGAGAAACATCAAAGTTGTGACAATGGAAATATAAATGCACAGATGGCCTCGAGCTTTTACGGTCGTTACCTTTTGAAGCTTTCATTATAAACAAACTTAAAAATGTTTCACCGACACGGACGCAATAGTGAGAGAAATGTCCAAACTATTCTTGGAATAACCATGCTAAAATGCCACATTTCATAGGCAGAATATTTCTCTATAATAACTTAAACTTATACTTGAACAACTTATTTAAGTATCTACGCAGTGATATTTCTGTCCAAATACTGTAAGTATACTAAATAGTATTAGAAAAAAACCTGCGGTATCCCAACTGTCTGGAATATTTATTGTCATTCCTCACTCCATTTTATCGAAATTCCCTCCTATACATGTTATTTTGTAACCATGTTTCAACATTTTAAATACGTGAAAGTATTGTTCTTTATATCTTTTACAGGTATTCATTTTTGAAATATACCATTGAAAGTTTACAAAACATGGAACATTCTCACTGGCAAACTTCAATAGACCCGACCATTTGCTATTGTATAGCAAATACTAGTGGTACATATTCTTTTTCTATATTCACGCACATATCAAAACTATGGGAAATAACTTGCTTTCCATGTTAATAGGTGTAAGATATCATATACCGGTATGACAATTTAAGTCAGTCAAATACGGTTCTTTAACAACGCAAGATTTTCCTATCCAAATAAACGTTAAAACTATATACAAAGATTGAAAACCAATCGATTTAAAGTCGTCAATGTGTACACACCTTTGTTAAACGTAGATTCTGCTTCCTTGAATTTTCTCCGTAAAAACCCTTCGATCATTTGATGAACAGACGCCTCCAATTCTTTAAAGGCCTGTGATTTATACACATATGTTAGTACAGGCACAAAGTCTTCCAAAATCATTGATGCCAGCTTTTCGTTTACATCATCTTTGGTTTTTATTATATAGCTAACTTCTTCATCTTTGAAATCGTACCTTTCAGAAGAAGTAAACATAATTGTGAGCACACAAAGAGCACAAGGAATCGTTATAGTTCTCTCTTTTGCACTCCATTAAATATAAATCAACTCTATTTGACATTTATCAAGTTAAATATGACAACTGGATAGTTTTAAACGCAGTCATTTAATATTAATGTTTAAAATTCTGGAAACAAGTGATCCCTCGGAAGCATGAATTACAACAAAATTACAAGAGAATTGCAGACTCGGTTTGATTGAGTCTGTACATGAGGGATAATTAATACGTGCAACATCCCTCACGCCCCCTAGCACCGGCTTGAGAGGTACTCAATTCTCAAAACTTAAAAGTGCTGGCATCCATGATCCCGAAGGACCAGAAAATATAACAACACTGAAGTGAAGTACGGGGCAACTTTTTACAGCTGCCACACGGCACTTGACACCTGCTGTTGTGAAGTAGAAAATTCTGGAAACAAGTGATCCCTCGGAAGCATGAATTACAACAAAATTACAAGAGAATTGCAGACTCGGTTTGATTGAATCTGTACATGAGGGGTAATTAATACGTGCAACATCCCTCACACCCCCTAGCACCGGCTTGAGCGGTACTCAATTCTCAAAACTTAAAAGTGCTGGCATCCATAATCCCGAAGGATCAGAAAATATAATAACACTGAAGTGAAGTACGGGGCAGCTTTTTACAGCTGCCACACGGCACTTGACACCTGCTGTTGTGAAGTAGAAAATTCTGGAAACAAGTGATCTCTCGGAAGCATGCATTACAACAAAATTACAAGAGAATTGCAGCCTCGGTTTCAACCCTTTTACAGTTGGACACTACGCTTTCCTCTTTTGATTGCATCTGACGGACCAAGTGGGAGACTCTATGATGGATAGTTCGTAAAGCCCTTTGGGACTGAATTGTCTTAATGTTCGTCTTCTGCCTTGCTTCGTCGGGCCCTTGTAGGTGATTTTCTTGTTGCTCTGTCTTCCTTTAGGACATTGAGTACTTTTGTTATGGTCATTGGGTTTGCTTTTATATGTTTCTACATGATCATTTTGGTGTTTTACTTATTTAACCTTTTGTAACCATGACAACTGTTAGAATTTCACTTGGCGGGGATTCATTTTATTTACACTGTCTCGTTTATAGGAACATGGTGGGGCTAAGAGCGAGGTTTGGTGCACCATTAACCGGTTTAAACTCCCCAGCAGTCATTATTATGCTGCTGACCGTTCCAAGGCGGCGCCCCACTGTGTTCCTCAGATGTATGTCTTATGTTGTTTCATACTGTTTTGGTGACACTTTTGCTTGTGTCCCTTGTTGTTTTCTCGTCTACGGTAAGTATCTTCCCCATTGCCTCTAGTTTTTATTTCTTTGATTACTCCCCACCCCCTCCCCCCGGTCTCCTGTCCCCTTCCCCTTTGTGGGTCTATTTTTATTTTCTTTGAATTCCTAATCAGTTAATCAAATTAATTATCATTTAATGATTAACCTGTCCGTGCTCTGTCTTTGCCCTGTCCTGTTTTTTTTTGGGGTCCCCCTGGGCTCCTTGCCATTGGTTCTTGTTGCTGGGTCATTTGGGGGTTGCGTTCATTGAACGCCGCCTTTCCTTGTTGATCTTGTTTATCATATTTGATTGAGTCTGTACATGAGGGATAATTATTACGTGTAACATCCCTGACGCCCCTAGCACCGGCTTGAGCGGTACTCAATTCTCAAAACTTAAAAGTGCTGGCATCCATGATCCCGAAGGACCAGAAAATATAACAACACTGAAGTGAAGTACGGGGCAACTTTTTACAGCTGCCACACGGCACTTGACACCTGCTGTTGTGAAGTAGAAAATTCTGGAACAAACTGACATGTGTAACGGTTATGTTTTTGTTGTTTGTCGATGTTATCATATTATTTTAGATGTTATCTTTTTATCATTTCTAGAACGAACTAGATGGCTGCAGAAAATAAAAAAAAACATTTCTATGTAAGATAACTTTACAATAATGCAAAAATCGTAACCTAAAGCAATGTGCAACAAGTGGTTCTAAAATATGAAAAACAAGATCAACAAGGAAAGGCGGCGTTCAATGAACGCAACCCCCATATGACCCAGCAACAAGAACCAATGGCAAGGAGCCCAGGTGGACTGAAAGGTTCCTGCAATGTATATTATTTGATAATAAGAGCATATTCTACTGAGAATCTAGTGTAGAAACAAAAAAAATTAAACATTTCATTAATATTTTAAATTATATGATTTTCTAATTGCTTTTATTTATTCCCCATAAAACATGTATGCTTAGTAGTAGTGGCAGTCGGATAGCGAAAGGTTTTAAGTTTTTTTTTCAGGATCAGGATCAGGGATTAGTGACGTAATTAGTCCTCTTGAATTAGGATAATCCTTTTCAAGTGTTTATCATGTCTACTTGAGACGTATTATTTTTCTGTAAGTGGTTATCAAGTGCTCTTGAGATGCCAATTTCCTTTTAAGTTCTTTTCAATTAAAATCAAAATGGCGGTAAGCCTTTAAGGTTCTTTTCAATTTAAATTAAAGATGGCGGTAAGCCTTTGAGTTATTTTTAAATAAGATTAAAAACGGCGGCGCCTTATTGTTAGGGAATGCTAATAAAGTTCGATACACACAATACATGACATGAATAACGATAATAAAAATAATATATAACAATAATAAGACATAGCAGAGTCTGTGCTATTTGGCAGTCATTATTACTTATTGGCGGAGAAAACTTGACAGGTTAAAATGGCCAACATTGAAGAACGATCGATTTCACTGAACACGACTTGCTCAGACATTCTGCCAGAGTGCAGAAGCTTCAGCATTGGCGCGGGGGAAGAGCAACGTGACGGCCTGTCGACCTCTAGCGACTGCGAGACTTGTGGCAAGAGGCTACCGAAAAACCGCGTGACATTCATCGCTCAGATTGTTGCCATATACTTAATCATTATCTTGTCGGCAGTGAATCTTTCGATTCAGAACGGGTCGAATCAAGAACTGTGGATAGCACTACTGAGCTCTGCCGTCGGGTACGTTCTGCCCAGCCCCGGTCTGAAATACAGGAAAACACTTCAGACAACGTCTGATGAGGAACAAACATGTAGGAGAAGAGACGAAGTTCGAGTATCTGGAGCGGATCTACAGTGATCCGTCGCACCCGGCAAGCTTTGGCGGGCCCAAGAGACTGAAAAGAGAGGCGGACAGAGAGGGTATATTTAACGTGAGCAGTACAGATGTGATTTCGTTTCTAGAGTCTCGAGACACGTACAGTACAAACAGGCCTGTTCGTAGGCGCTTCAATAGGAACAGAATACTGGTCAGTGGCCTTCGCCAACAGTACGACATGGATCTCTGCGACATGAGTAAACTCGAACGTTATCGTGGCAACAGGGGCACCCGCTTTCTACTCACCGTAATAGACGTGTTCAGTAGGTTTGCAATGGTTAGGCCGCTGCGTAACAAGTCTGGGAAGGTCTTCGCCGAAGCACTGGAGCAGATATTGACGTCAGGTCCTATGCCGGTGCGCTGCAGATCAGACAGGGGCACGGAATTCACGTGCAAGGCAGTGGTCGATTTACTACAGCGACTGGGAGTCAAACAGTACTTCAGTACGTCAGACCTCAAATGTCAGAGCGTTGAACGTCTGAATCAGACGCTAAAGGGCGCCATATCCAAATGGTGTTATCAGAACCGATCATTCGCTTACGTTACGGTACTGGACGATCTTGTCGACGGCTACAACCACAGGGTGCATTCTTCGCTGTTCGGACTTAGTCCTAGCGAGGTGAACTCGTCCAACGAGGCAAGGTTGTGGAATCTGATGTACGTGGATGGGGCCGGGAGGGCAGGTCGAAGGACGCGACTGTACAAATATCAAATTGGCGACCTCGTGAGAATAAGCCTAGCAAAAAGAACGTTTGAGCGATCTTACGGTGAAAAGTTCACGTCTCAGATTTTCAAAATACGGGGGCGGATCTATAGGGAAAACATTCCTGTCTACTTTTTGGTCAATCTCGAGGAAGAGCCAATCAGGACAGCCTTTTACGAGCACGAGCTTCAGCGGGTCAGGAAGAGCCTTGACGACATGAGCGACTGGGAAATCGAGCGGATACTTAAGACCAGGAAGTTGGGAAATGTGCACGAAGTTCTGGTCAGATACCGAGGACTCGGACCTAAGTTTGATAGGTGGCTGCCAAAAGCTTCTTTTGGCCAGAAAAAGCGCGCGTAAGGACATGGAGCAAATACACGTGGATATATGTAGCACAGACTGTGGCGATCTGTACCCTTCGAATACCGGAAGTGACTTTAGAGTGATGCTGGGCGAAACAATGACATAAAAAGACGGACGATTGTCGGTTGCACTGGTTGGAGTCACCGTGAAAAGTGCGCTTGACGGCACTGATCTTAATGGCCAGGAGCTGTACTTTTGCTCTAACGTTGTTGACTTTTCTGTGATGGGGGGCAAAAAGGTTCAACTTCTCCGCCGAGTTTGTTTGGAAACCGGAGTGAGGACCTCGGACGGGGGTGTGCATTTTCCATAGACACCGTTGAAAATTATTGTTTCTATAAAAGGGCACCGCACCAGGAGTTGAAAGGCATTCACGTGTTCGTGCTTAAAAAATCTGGACAGAAATTCGAGCTCATATCTGAATGTGTGGTGTCAGTCACCTTGCATTTCAAGTGCCTCAGATAAAGGGGCGGGGCTTATGTGCCTTCGTACAATACACTGTCAACAGAGGGCCAAGCCATTGTTTGACAAGGCAGGGCAGGCTTATCTCTCTACACGTCAACATAGTCAGTCAGTGCACAATGAACAGCGACGCTCACCACTCCAGTCACCTTTATATACCGGACTTCAAGGCATGGGAGAACATTTATCAAAGAAAGGTTTCATCTCTTGCGAAAAAGGAAGAGAAGCGATTGGCAATTAAGAGGCCGGCGGAAGTAAAGCTACAATTCGTTTCACCGGTGGAAGAAACGGTCGATAGGGCCGAAAGCGAAATAAGGGCGAGCGTTGAAAACGTTCCGAGGCCGAAAAAGACGAAATCTTCGGCTCAATCTGAAGGCAGTTTTCCGAGACCGCTTAAAGTTAAGGACAATTCAATCTTTAGAACAATGTATTAAGATCTTACAAGTTCTTAAAAGTTAAAAAAGATTCAATACTTAATTAATCATTTACATGTTCTGTGCGATTAATGACTGATTTTGCAGTATCAATCATTATAATTATATTGCGTTACTCACGGAGTAAGAAGTATTCATGTATATTCTGACCTCTTTTTGGTTATTTACGTGACTTGTAAGTGGCGTTAACAATGTGTAGAATACTTTCTTGTTCAATTCACAATATTTTACTTTTCAATACATGTTCAATTTTTTTTATGAAAATTAGTATGAATCTGGCGGCATGTTGCTTTAATAATTCAAAAAATCACAATTATACCAATAAATCTGATAACACAGCTGGTATTCGATACCAGTTGGTATATGGTATCGCCCGATCAAAATGCAAAGGAGTTGAAGACAAGGAAACACGTTATTAACTAAAACGTAGTTGGTAGGACGTTACCTCGTCTTCACTCTTTTTTATATTTTTTCCGTATATATGAATACATAAGTCTTTTATACGGTTGAAGAGCAGTTATCAGCATATTACACCGGACTCAACATAACCAATTTCAAACACAAAATGCAAATAAATATTCCGATCAAATATCGCAATGCACAGTAAAACATTGATCTGAAAATGAAAATAATTATTATACATAGACACAAATTATAATATATCATCTGAAATTAAATTATATAAACTATATATTGCTTAATTTAATGCATTTTGTGATAAAAGGATTACTTAATGTCAATTGGTTGCAGAAATATAAATATTTGATGACTTTGCTAAGGGACTCCAGAGATGTTAAAGACCTAGAGAAAATAACATTACCTTTAAATTTGTATTCATAACATAGATCAACTGGAACACTTAAAGCAGGAATATATGTGAGGAATAATTAAGGAAAAATACTCAGAAATAACTTTCAAATAGAATTGTTGTGCCCTTCTTGGCTTAATTTGAGCAAAAAGCGTTGTATTAAATTAAAATAACTATTCTGAAAAAAAAAAAAACCAGTAACGAATTACCTCAGATTGTGCACAATAGTTTTTGGTCTAGACCAACGTCGAATGTAATATTTATCTCACAGAATTATTTCCAGTCCTGTCATGTCAAAATACATAAGTGAAGTACTTTAATTCAGTTCTAGCTCTTCTGAAAATACTTTAATTTCTTTTTCATCATAAGAAAAAAGAGGACAATTATTAAGTAAGTTTTTGCCATGGCCTGATTTTCATTAAAACAACTCATCAAACACGTGATAAACCACGTGATAAGTCACTCTTTGTTAGTTACGCATGCGCTGTTGAATACTAATGAAGTGTGTCCTTATCGCAATGGCGGAGTTAAGCCCTGGAATTTAATCTTCGTGGACAATATTTCAGAAAATTAAGGTAAAAATTATTTATTTTATGAGATGTTTTTAACAAATTATACAGCTGGTTCAGTCATAAACCCTACTGATGGATAACATAAAATGACTCACAAAGTGAATGTATTAAACAGAATCACCATCAGTTTGGAATTTTTATCAAAATGGAACATTGTGTTCATGACAAAAATAAAAGTGAGTTGTTGTATAGCTTTAATCATAAGTAAACGTTGTAATATTAATAAAGTATATAACCCATTGTATATACATGTAATTATTTTTTATATAAATGTTTAGTGCTCGCCAATTTTTTTAAGCCAATCACCGACGAGGATTTTTCAAATTTTCAGGTTTCAAATCTTAATAGAACAGATTTTATATAAACTGGACGTTTTATATTATAAAACGCAAGTGGGCGGAGCTAAGTTTCGAAGAGCGCTAAAGTGAAATATACGCATGTGCAGAGATCTTAAAGTTTACTCCTACTAATCAATATTTATGCATCATGTTTTTTCCGTACCGTCACTACGGCATAGAATTAGAAAAAGAGGTTCATTGAAATGAAAACAGGCAAAATAACAGTTAAAATGTTTTATAACTTCGGAACCAGTATCATTTTATAATTTCCAAATAAAAAATTCACTTATTCCAACAAA